TTTTAGAAACTCTCCAGAGCGTATGGAAACCGTCCTCTGTTGCCGTTAGCATCCGGGCAGAGTAGGCTAACGTTAGGCGGCTCCGGGGATTCCCTCGCTAGTTTGCTTGGAATTAAAGGAGAAGTGTCGATTTTATTTTAAAGATGGGTAACAACGCACAAAATGGCATTAAGCGTGACAGAAATGTGTTGAACATGTACATTTGATGTTTTTATGCACTATGTATGCGTGAGCATATATAAAAACATTCTTGAAAAGAAGTCAATAGTAATGCAGTTAAGCTAGATACACAAACGACCATGAATGAACCGCAGAAGATTAAAATTGTCACTCCATTCTAAAGTTATTAACTTAACAACATGTTTACAACTGTATTTCCTTAAAGAAAGTCAGTAAAATACCAACATTTAGGTAGTTTGACTCACCAGTTGCTGTTCTAAACCTCAGATGGAAAATGGCGTCTGGAAAATTCTTCAGTGACTGGGGCTGCATGAATTCCCGGATGTTGGAAATAACACCACCAAGTGTTGAAAAGATAACTCCTTGATTTCGCACTGAATAAAATCAATTTTAACTCTTATTATATTCATTTATCAAAATCTAACTCTTTAACGTCAACACTTTACTCTCAAAGGCTTCAACACCAAGAATTTAACTCTGATGAATTTGCTGTGCACCCTTTTGTTTTTCAGTCTCAACAATATTTTGGGTTTGGGACAAAATTTATTAATATTCTTTCAATGTTGACAATATAACAAATAACAAGTGCTGTTTTACTTCAATCGGGTACTACAAAGAGATTTGATATCAGAAGGGGAATACGACAGAGAGATCCAGTCAGCCCCCTTCTTTCTTACTTGCTGCTGAATTATTAGCACTGTATATTAAAAATAACGACAATATTAAGCCATTAAATTTTCTGAGTAGATCCTTGTTAATTGCACAACTAGCTGACAACTTGATTTCTGAAGGACTCTAATCAAATACCGATTGCCTTAAAGTCTATATCATTGTTTTCTAATGCTTCAGGGTTACATTTAAATTTGAAAAAATGTGAGATTCTAATTCTTCACAATAATACATAAAATTCATTGTATAATATCCCAATTAAAAGCTAAATAACACACTTGGAAATAACTATTACAAAAAAATTTAGGGACAGGGAAAATAATAATATTCATACTGTTGTACAGAAAAATAAAAAAACATTAAGTAGCTGGTTACAAAGAAATATTTAATTTTTTGGGAGAATATTATTAACAAAAATGGAAGCAATATCAAGATTAATCTATCCAGCATATTGCTTAGGTGTAACAGAAAGATGTATTAAACAAATTAACAGAGTTCATTATGAGTTTATTTTGGAACAATAAGCAACATTTATTTTGAAAAAATGATTTGGTAAAGTTATCAGAGGAAGGGGGGTTGAATGTTATTGATTTTGGCGTTATAAATGGAGTAATGAAGTTAAAATGGTTACAAAGCTTTGTTAAAGGTGAACCGTCTTTATGGTTTAGCATCCCTTTTCATATTTTTCAAAGGATGGGAGGAATTTCTTTTTTTCTAAAATGTGATTTTGACTTACTAAAATTGCCATTTAAATTGTCTGGTTTTCATGCAGAAGTGTTACTATATTGGAAAATGTTGTACAAGCACAATTTTACTCCACATAATGTTATCATTTGGAATAACAGGTGTATTCTACATGAGAGGAAATCTTTATTTTTTAAAGACTGGTTTGACAAAGGAATTTGGAATGTAATTCATTTAATGGATGATTATGGTAATATGTTGAGCTATGATCATTTTAAGTTAAAATTCAATTGTAATTGTGCACATAGAGAATTCTCTTTGGTTGTCAAAGCTATTCCTGTAGCTTTGAGAAATTTAGTTAAAGGTATAGTGCAATACTCCTCTGTAATACCTACACTAGTTGATTTGTTTATAAATAATTATTCATTTTGGGATATTAAATGTAACAACAAGGTCTTGAGATCACTACTGACAAAATAATATTTTCCTCTTCCTGTTAAAAGAATAGTTTTATCTGAGAGATTTTCTAAAGCGGACACTATTGATATTAGAAAAAGATACCTGTCATTTCCCTTGTTACCTAAAATGAAAGAAGTACATTTCAAAACAATTAATGACATCTATCCATGTAACGAATTTCTTAGAATAAGATTTCATTTAGACAGTAATGCTTGTATTTTTTTGCTTGAAAGATATAGAATCACAGGAACATCTTTTTTTATAGTTGTTCCAGTGTCAAATCCTTTTGGGACAGATTGTATTAGTGGTTGATAACTAAAAATGTAACACCTGCGTTTGACTATCACATTGTGAAATTTGGCATTTTTATGAAAAACAAGGAAGTTGAATTTCTATGTAATAATATGTCGATTGTAGCAAAATTTTATGTACACAAATGTAGATTTGTTAAAGTTTCTTCTTGTTTCAAAGCATTTAAAAATGATTTCAATATGTCATATAAATCTATAAAACAAGTAAAAACAAAAGGTGCCTTAAAGCTCTCTAAGCTTTTGTCAACATATATGGACTGACCCTCTGATTGTAATGTATTTTCTTTTGTATTATTTAAGGTTTATTTTTATGTTATTATTAATTTGTACTGTTTTGTTTATTATATGCTGCTTGGTTATAATGTTATATATGTTTAACAATGGAAGTTGAAAATGCCTGTTTGTTATTTGAAGTTTAAATAAAAAAATAAATAAAAAAAAAAGTTTGTCTAGACAATAGTAAAATACGAGATTGCTAGAATATAAATGTGTCAATGTGGGAATGGACATAAACAATTTAGCAATATACTGTATATAAACATGTAGCTTATCAAAAAATAGAAGTGAAAGTCACTGATGATATTTTAAGCATGAGGATTAAAATATCAGCCATACTTATTAGGGTCGAGTCAAACCATTCATTTATACATTCATTAAAGAATTTACCCATACAAAATGTCAACCTCAACACTACCAGTGAAACATATACACACGCACGCAGTACAATAAAGAATGAATGAATAAAAAGGGAGCAACATTATTATGTCAATAGAAAAAAAAAGCATGCATCCAAAATCAAAAGAATGCTGAGTTTATACGAAGGACGAAACCGGCAAAAATAAATAAATAAATGAATAAATGCGCAAATAAATAAAAGACAGAGTAAATAAATGCATAAATTCATGCATAAATAAAAAATGAATAAATGCGCAAATATATAAAGAAATTGGAGAATACATTTACATTTCTGCAAAAATAAAACAAACAAAAAAAAGAATAACTAAATACGCGCATATATACATAAATAAGCATTGAAATCTATAAATTCCTGTATAAATAAAATAATTAATAAATAAATACGCAAATAAATAAATGAGTAAATAAATCCATAAATGCAGGCATAAAATAAATAAATACGCAAATAAACAAATAAATAAATAAATGTCTGCATAAATAAAAATGGATAAAAACGAAAATATATAAATAAATAAGTAAATAAAACAAAGCATAAATAAATAGGAAAATATAAATTAATGCATAAATAAAACTATAAATAAATAAAAAAGCTAATATAACAATAAATGAGTAAATAAATCCACAAATTCCTGCATAAATAAAGCAAATAAATATGCAATTTATTTATTTATTGTTTTATTTATGCAGGTATTTACGAATTTATTTATGAACTTATTTATTTATTTGTTTTTACCTATTTTTGTATAGTTTTTGAAGGTTTCGTCTTCTATAGGTTTTTAGTAAAATAGTAAAAAAGTAAAATAGTGAAAAACAAATGTTTTTCAATGATTTTTATTGTTACAACTGTTTATTTTAATTAATTTCGATTTTTAGTTCGTTGTAAAACTGACGCAGAATTCATTTCATTAAGGCGTAACGCTGGTGTTTTACAAGTTTAGCCTGTTTACCGCGCAGCCGCTTGCATACAGGCTATGAGTATGTGTGATCAGTTATTGATTGATTATAAGGCATATACTTTATGCAAAAACAATATGGCACTTTCAAATGGCCACAGAAACGCTCCACAGAAACGGCCCAGCATGCGTCACATTTAGAATTGAATGTGAATGTTCGAAACGGTGACATCATAGCTAAGAGAATGCGAATGCAACCCTGACTTTGGCATTCTGCGGTTAAACTAGTTGAGCGATGGGTCAACGTAATTGTCGTTGCAAAAAGGCAAACAATGATTTTGAGCGTGTGCACGTTTACCATCACGATGCACCGCCACAGCTCACCAATTTGGTGGAAGCTCATAAACATCCTGTTGGCGTAGGTGAAGATAGTGCGAGTGAGGGGAAAAATAAAAAGAGAAAGGAGGCCAACCGTAAAAAGAAAAGAAGGTTCAAGTTGTGGCGGTGGTTCTCCTGTCTGAGAGCTGCTGAAAAAAATAGTACACTTCAGGTTGATGGAGAGGCTCAGGACATTGGGGCAACTGCAGCACCACCTGAAGTACAACCTTCCTCCTCTTCAGGTGACGGATCTCTACAGCAGGTCATTCATACTGTAGACCTCAATCTTCAGGAACCTTCAGCCAGTGACCCTGAAGTCTATCCAACAGTAAAGACACATCTTACTGTTCAACCTGATGTCCTCCGTTCTCCAGTTCTGAGCAGCAATACTGCTCAAACTTCATTCAACTGGAACTTTGACATCAGCCAGACTCCATTGCTTAGTCATGACTATTGTGATGGCCTGGCTCTAGCACGCACCACATCAAGGTGGAGCAATGATTTTACTAAGACTTCAGCACACACCATGTCAGATTGGAGCATTGATGTGATCAAAACTCCAACACGCATCACATCAGATTTTAGTACTGACGCTACCCGGACTCCGGTACACAACGTGTCAGTCTGGAGTATTGATGTCACCCAGCCTCCATTTCACTCATCCACTTCTGATTGTTGTAACAATGCCACTGAGATTCCAGTCCCCGATGCATCCGAGGGGAGTGCCAATTTCCCTCAGATTTCACAGCACACAACGTCAGACTGGAGCATCAATGGTGGTCAAGCTCCAGTCTGCACACAGGCCTCTGTTTCAAAACAAATAGAGAATAATGGAAAGATGACAAGTCAGGGTAAGTTGACTGTCCCTTAAACACACACACACACACACACACACACACACACACACACACACACACACACACACACACCTGCAATACTATATCAGGCCATTTTAATGTTTCCATTTGTGACCCTGGACCACAAAACCAGTCTTAAGTTATACATTTTTGGCAATAGGTAAAACTAAAGCTTATTTATTCAACATTCAGACCTCATTTTCAAAAAATGTACACTGATTAAGTAAAACATTTTGTCCTGTTTTACACTGGTTGATATTTCATATTACTTAACCTTGGTTTTGTTTTAATAGTCATCAATTCTTGCCACTATCTGATCGATGACATGCTGGGTGAAGGATCCTTTGGAACTGTGTACAAGGGGCGACGTCTACACGATGACTTAAAGGTGCCTTTCATTTTTCTGGATAGGATAAATAGTAACAAATACAATATGTTAGCTGTACAATCATTCTTACATACACTTTGCTTATTTCTTGTTTATTAGGTGGCAGTGAAATTTGTCACAAAGACGGAAGATGTGGAATACATACGTATCGTAAGTGATTTCTCATAAGACAAGCTACTGTTGTCGAAATTTTGTGAAATTATGATTCAATTCATAATCTATAAAAGATATATCTATCTAAACATCATAAAAAATGTATTTCCTGTAGTCGGGTCATTCAGAGCCCTTTCCTCTTGAAGTTGCACTTCTCATCCTCGCCCATGGAGTATCCAGCGTTCCAGAAATAATCCAGCTTCTGGACTGGCAGGACCAGGAGGACCATTATATAATGGTGTTGGAATACCCTTCACCCTGTGAGGACCTATATGCTTTCACAGAAAGCTATGGAGGATCCCTAAGTGAAGGTTTAGCGCGTGTTGTTATGCAGCAGGCAACTCAAGCTGCATACATGTGCTGCCGCAATGGTGTTCTACATCGCGATATCAAACTTGAAAATCTACTAATCAACAAGGAGACTCATAAAGTCAAATTAATAGACTTTGGGTGTGGAGACCTTCTCAAGAAATTACCCTACGATACATTTGCCGGTATGTATTAACCCTTAAGCTGTGAAAAACGATATTCTGAATTTTTAGCAACAAATGCTAATTGATGCAAAAATCTTTTACCTTTAGGCACCCTTGAGTACTGCCCCCCAGAGTTTGAGGAAACGGGTGAATACAATGGGAAGCCGGCAACAGTCTGGTCCCTTGGCATCCTCTTGTTTGTATTGGTGTGTGAGGACTTTCCCAACCCTCAAGAACTGCACATGATCAATGAGAACAACTTCTCCAAAGCTGGCTTGTCCGATGGTAAGCTCTTTATTTCAAAGACTCTTACATGCAACATCAAAGGAGGTGTGAAGTTCAAGGTAAACAGATGTTTCAACTGTTTTTCACAGAATGCTGTCAGTTGATTAGTTGCTGTCTCCAGCAAAAGCCAGAGCTGCGGATTCAATTAAAAGAGATTCTTCTCCACGAATGGTTCAAGGTATGAAGCCTAAGCAGAGTATTTTGGGAGGGTTAATTCAAACACAAGACTATGGATGTTAGCTTAGAGAATATTAGATTTGGATTGACTTTTGATAAACTAATTGCTGTTTTTATTTTAGGACACCAACCTGGAGAACTGAAGAACAGCCACCCTACATGTTATTGTCTTGAGAGGAACGTTTCAGGCTGTTTGAGGCAGGAAATCTTGAGCAGGAGGTGGCTCCTCTCAAAACAAACAATAAAACATATGCATTAATTGAACTCTTGTGAAGAGTATTATTTGACAAAAACAATTCTAGGAGAGCACATATTTACATAGTACTGTGAATCTTGTTTCTGTCATGTATGATAAGTATGCAATGCATTTCTTGTGTCATGCTATTCTTACAGTTAAAAAGATGACTAGAGGCTGCATATTGACACAATAAACGTGTCAAAAAAGTCACCAACACAAAACAGCTGATGATAAACATCATTTTAAGCTGTAAAATGACATCACATTTCCACTCTGAAAATGAATATTTAAAATAACAGACACTTCCCTGCCACATGTATTTGTTCTTCAGACATCTCACCAAGCAATGAGACGTTTAAATGCTGTCTAATAGACTCTAAACGTCTGGCCAAAAGAAGGCTAAATTTGGGTAGGCAGTGCAAATCTATATGGCTACTTGATGACTTGATTTATAGATAATTATTCATTCATTCATTTTCCTTCGGCTTAGTCCCTTTATTAATCAGGGGTTGCCACAGCGGAAAGATCTGCTAACTTATCCAGTATATGTTTTACACAGCAGATGTCCTTCCAGTCACAACCAAGTAAACTCCTATACACTCACATTCAAACACATACACTATGGCTAATTTAGACTGTGGCTTCTTCAATTCAGTTTCCCCTACCTGTACTGTGGGGGAAACTGGAGCACCCGGAGGAAACCCACATGAACATAGAGAGAACATGCAAACTCCACAAAGAAACGCCAAGTGACCCAGCTTGGTCCCGCTAGGAAGCCAGCGACCACCTTGCTGTGCAGCAACAGTGCTAACCACTGAGCCTCCATGCCACCTTATAAGCAGTTAGATGTTTTTCAAACACACACAAAAACGTTTGTTTTTTTTCCCTTCGCAAGTTGAATAACTGTGCATAGGTCAATTCAAACATAATACATCTAGATATGTTTATATCATGTTTAGAGTTTTTGGCCATAAATACTTAAACAATGACAATATGTGGGCTTGAAATTGCTCATTTTAAAATTTTGTTCTAAATTTTTTATTTTCTGTGCAAATGCAAAAAACATAAATAAATTAAAAAAAAATTGTGAAAATGGCAATGCCATGTGAAAGCAAATCCGAGCAGCAAATCCGGATTTCACAACCTCCAGGGCCCGGTTTTTCAAAAGTAATCCACTAGGATTTTGGATAAGGGATTGGATCAAATCTTGAAAATGGGTTTTTCAAAAGAAAAAACGGATTACATAATCAGATTAGATCACGTAATCTAATCTTGGTTTTGATTTGGATAGTTTGGGTTTTTCAGATCTTTTTTGTAGGATCTGGATCATTTTGATCCAAAAAACCTGGATTAAACTAATCCCATCAGAAGGGTGGATTTAGCGTGGATTTCATGCCCAAAATGTAATTAAAACGTAAAAAAATGTATTAAATAAAACTATATTGGATCATGCAGAATCTTACGAGATATACTATTTATTCATAACGTTTTAATTTTATTTGTTCATCTGTCAGGCTATAGTGATTATAGGCTTTAACGTACACTGTTAACCCTTACTGTAGATTATGCAGTAAATAACTGTAAAATAGCCAGTGTTTTGCTGTAATAAAAGGAAACAGTATTTTACAGTAAAAGGAGCAGGATTTGTATGAAATTTTGTAGTGCAAAGAATAAATTACAGTAATTTATTTTATGTACCCATTACAGATAGTTACTGTGATAATAAATGGTAAATTACTGCTCAACCATTATTACCCCATGTACTCTGATGCTTTATGTTGCTATATATATATATATATATATATATATATATATATATATATATATATATATATATATATATATATATATATATATATATATATATATATATATATATATATATATATATATATATATATATATATATATATATATATATATATATAGTTCAGTTTTGGTATGTGTATGGTCAGTATTGAGGAGAAAGTGAGGCAATGCATTGATGATAAGATAAATTTCTCTGCAGCCATCTCTGTGTTTTCTTTGGTTCCTTTTATGTTTTTAACATTGAGTATCAGGAGTCAACCAATGTCAATGTCACAGAGCTAATTAAAAGGTAAAGATATCGACCTATATATTACCTATAGTAATATATATTACTATAGGTTTGGAACAACATGAGGATCAGATTATTATTATTATTTTTTTATTTGTTTGCTTTGGATGAAGTATTTATATTTTTATTGTTTTTATTCAATGATATGTGCATGATTGTGATAAATGTAGGCAATTCCTTTGAAAATATGCTATGTACCAGGGATGTCAAACTCCTGAAAGGCCACAGCCCAGCAGAATTTAGTTCCAGCCCTGCTTCAACACACTACCTTTAGATTTAGTTTGATCAGGTGTGTTTAATTAGTATAACTGCACTGTTACTCTGGCTATTTTACAGTTATTTACTGCACAATCTACAGTGTTTTGCTGTAATAAAAGGAAACATTTATTATTTATTAACACATTATTTTACTGTAAAAGGAGTAGACTTTGTATGAAATTGTGTAGTGCAAAAAATAAATTACAGTAATTTACTTTATGTACTCATTACAGATAGTAACTGACAATAAATAGCAAATTACTGTTCAACCATTACTGTCCCATCTTCTCTGATGGTTTATGTTGCTATGTATAGAGATGTGCATTTTAAAGGCAGAAATTAATGATTTAGGCATCACCACACACTCCCACGGGCTGTCTGTCTTCTTCTAAACACAAAGGTGTTAGAAAGAGTTTTCAGAAAATGCTGGCCCTTTAAGGGAGCCAGGTGTTTGATTTGTTTACTGCTGAGTGTGCTCTATTCTCTGTCCATCAATTCAGATGTAGAATCTGATATGTATTAGGCTTTAAATAAGAATCTACAACGAGTAAATAAAATTTGTTCAAATGTTTTTGAGGGTTTCTATAATAAGGCTGTGTTTTAAGTTATATTGTTGTTATCTTGAACTGTGTACTTGAAAGCTACATTGTTAGCTAGTTAGCCTCTCCTCATATAACTTCTTACATTACTTTTGTCTAAGTATATGTATTTATTGGATATTGGATATTGCATACTGCCATAATGTACAGATGCTAACAGTTGTATGTATCTTTCTGGCAACTAAGCCAAAATTAAATTCCATCATCTCTGTAAGGTAACATGTGCACATCATCACAGGGAATCACAAAAACATGATACACATAGCCATCCACACACAAAAGCTCCACTGTCAGGTCACAGGTTGTGAGTTTGTTGCCAAGTATTTTTCAGAGCAGTGTTTCCACCTATGAATTTATATTAGAAACAATAAAAGTTTGTTGTCATGAGATAATTATAACAATAAAAGATTGGATCCTTTGGTTTTTCGATGTTGCCAACTTTATTTTTATTTTTTATAATTATTTTAAAATTTTTATTGAGATTTGACACAGTTTTTAATTACTTAAAACTTTAAAATTTTAAATAATTATGTCGTGTTTTTTGCTGTTCATTTGCTGATCTACCTTCCTGCAGATTCCAGTTGCTATCCATATCAAACACACCTAAACCAATTAATTAGGACCTAAACACCACTTGATAATTACAGGCAGGTGTGTTTGATATGGGTAGCAACTGAAATCTGCAGGAAGGTAGATATCCAGGAACCGGATTGAGCACCCCTGCTATATACCATGGGGGTCAAACTCCAAGTTCCTGGAGAACTGCAGCAGCAGAATTTAGTATCCACCCTGCTTCAACATTACCTGTAGATTTCTAACAAGCCTTAATTAGTTTGATCAGGTGTGTTTAACTAGAGTAACAGCTTAAAGTCCCGGTCACACTGCACTTTTCTCCCAATAGACTTCGATTCATACGCATGTGAGTACTGCAGACCTGGAATAATAGCTCATGCGACAAATTTCATCATTCGCAGCATTGGAAAGTTCAAGCTTGGAGAACGCTGACATGCAAAATCACATCATGTGATTGCTTGATACCAATCAAAGATCAAAACGTGACCTCTCTGGCTTGCTTATTCAAATGTTATGCCTTCTATTTTTTTAATAACAGCTAAGAATACTGATTAATTTTAGTAACACTACAATAACTATATATTACATACTATTAATGTGTATGCAGTATAATGCTGTGATTTGTAACACTACAATACAGTAATTAACTGTACACAGTTTCCAGTTAGTTACCACTGCTGCTCTATTACAGTAATTAACTGGCAACAAAGTTGCCAGCTACTCACTGTATCGGTTCAGTTACAGTAAATAACTGGCAACACTGTTGCCAGCCACTCACTGTAATGGTTCAGTTACAGTAATTAACTGGCAACACTGTTGCCAGTTACTTACTGTAACTGAACTTTTACAGTGAGTGGCTGGCAACAGTGTTGCCAGTATTCTACTGTAAAATCAACCCGGTAAGGTCTAACAGTGTATTTAGCCTTTCAGTATAGGCCTACAGCAAAATAGAAAGAGTTTGGCCTCATAAAACAATCCCCCAAACAGCTGTCAAAATTTACCAAAAATGATACATTTTATTCTGTTACTAATTGATATATATATTCATCACAATAGAAAATATTTTTGAGTTTAGAATATTCATTAGTGATGCATGCAATGATTACAGAATAACAAAAAAAAATGCAAAGAATGGCAATGGCAATTTGAAACTTATTATAAATATCCTCAATGTACAGTGTTGTAGATCTCAGATGAGCGGACTGCTGGAAGAGGATGGGGTGGGGTTTTTCTTGCTTTTATTATTTATTATTATAATTATTTTATTATTTATAAAATTTTCTTAGTTTTCATTTTAAATAAAAATTAATTTATATTTACCCCACACTGGCTATTCTACTTGTTGCTCTTTACATAGGCCTATCTATCCATCTACATTGTGATTGAACACTGGTAATCCAGATTTAGTGATCCTAAAAAGTTCCTATCCGGATCAGAATGATCCAATCCAATGTTGCTTTGAAAAACTGGCTCAAAAAGTAAGCTGGATTACGTGATC